AGCGGCCCAAGAGGATATTCTCGTACATAAACTACAGAACAAGGATTCATCATTGGATTCCCAACCTAATTAAAGTAGGAAGTGAATCTGAAATGATAGAGGAAGATCAGGAAAAAGCTGAGGTTATGGCTGACTACTTTGGGGCAGTTTTCACTCAGGAACCTCCTCTAGAGAAAGAACCAGACCCAATTACAGAGTCAACAAACCAGCTGCTCACCGTGCACTTCGACCAAAACGATGTGCTTAAGGCTCTTAGCACCCTAAACATGGAGAAGTCAACAGGACCAGATGAACTACACCCCAAAATCTTGAGACATATTGCCCAATATATCGCAGACCCACTGACTGTGATATTCAAAATGTCACTTGACCAAGGTGAGTTACCTATGGACTGGAAGGACGCAATCGTCACTCCCATACATAAAACAGGACCAAGACAAGTTCCATCAAATTACAGACCCGTAAGCCTCACCAGTGTTGTAATTAAAATACTGGAAAGAATAATCAAACGGACCATAACAGCATTTATGGAAACCAATAACTTGCTGAACATGGAACAACATGGTTTTAGAAAGGGTCTATCCTGTACAACGAACCTCCTTATAGCTAGGGAGCTCTGGATTAATGCGCTAGACAACGGAAACTCAGTGGATGTTGTCTACATAGACTTCAGTAAGGCTTTTGACAAGGTGCCAACTAATAGGCTGCTATTGAAGTTGACAAACCTTGGTATTGCCGGACCTCTTTTAAAATGGATTAAGGATTTCCTAGTAGGTCGTAGGCAAAAAATAAGAATAAATTCCAAGTGCTCCGTCTGGAGACCAGTACTTAGTGGAGTACCCCAATGTTCCGTCTTAGGTCCTTTACTTTTTATAATGCATGTTAATGATCTTACAAGTATAGTACAGTCTCCAATGTTATTATACGCTGACGATGTAAAAATTTGGCGAGTAATAACTGAAGACAAAGACGCATTTACTCTTCAGGCGGACTTAAATAATATGATAAACTGGTCTAAAGAGTGGCTAATGCCTATCAACTCGGAAAAGTGTGTCTACATGCACTTGGGGGATTCAAAGGTTAATACGTACAACATAGGGGATGTGTCATTACCCGTAGTCCGGTCTCATAAGGACCTAGGGGTGACAGTGAGCAATGATCTTAAGACGACGGCCCATTGCCGGGAGGTCGCAGTTAAGGGGTTTCGAACCCTCTGGGCTTTAAAAAGGACATTCACTAAGCTTGACACTACCATGTTCACCACATTATACACGTCCTTAGTGAGAACTAAGTTAGAGAACTGTGTTCAGGCTGCAAGCCCCTGTTTAAAGGTGACTCGGACATAATAGAAAAGGTACAGAGGGCAGCTACGCGTGCAATTCCGGAACTCCGAGGTTTATCATATAAAGAGCGGCTTGAAAAACTGAACCTCTTTACTCTGTCCTATCGCAGACTAAGGGGAGATCTAATATTGATGTACAGAATACTGAGAAATGATTTCGGACCTAACTTATTCTCTCTCTTTCTTCCCACTAGATCGGGACACCTCAGAGGACATAGCAGGCGAGTAGAAAAGCCAAGAACGAACAAAATACCCGTGGCATACAGGTTTTCACACCGAGTCATCAATACTTGGAACCTGCTGCCTGAAGCAGTGGTGTCCGCACCTTCAATTGACTCTTTCAAGAGAAGACTGGACACTCACAGAAGCATACTAGAAAAGGAATAACATAGGCCGTAGGCCTTCTCTCCTTACTACACAAATCTGAATCTGAATCTGATACTGCAAGTTTGTAATTGTTGAAATAAAGCCGCCTAGTTTAAAACCGTGCGACATCAATGCGATTAAAGGCGTCACAACCATTAAACGTGTGTCGGTTTATAGAGGTAGATTTCAGCACGAACGTTCGGGCTCAGTGTAGCGACTAAGTGTTCTGTCGGGTAGCAGTTAGTTGTTGATCGAAACTTGTCCTAGACCGATTGAACGGTCAAATTCATGAGATTACTCTAGTTGATTTCATCTCTTAAAATTGTCCTCGGATCGTGGTCTCGTTTTCCTACTTGTCCGTGTTTCTCGTAAAGAAAACCGCTAGAAAAAAACAATGCGTATGCAAAAACGTCTTTTACATATATCAACTGTATTTTCAGTAAGAGTATTATAAACTGTTAGTTTCTAGACATTCCTGAAAATTAATAGCCTAATGTTAATACTTGTTAGTATCAGCTTCTAATCATACATCTTTTACGAATATATTAGTAATCCCCTTTATACTTCTGTAGCTCGTGAGTTAAACGGTTCACATGTGAAGCTGTTTTTTTTTGTACTGAATTACGAAAAACTTTCGTTGTTCAGCATTTGTCATAATAATAGTTCAAAAAACACCATTCTGGTGTCTAGTTTGTAGGCCTTCGGTTTTCGCACCACCTTTTTGTGTCTTTGTCTACGTGTTAATTTAATTGGGTTGGATAAGCAATTGTGAGAAACCCAAACGTTTCATTACGATCAATGATGAAATACAACGTGATAGTTGTAAAATGCACAAAACTACTAACTAGTAAAGACGTAGTGCTGCTTTTGTAAAATATTGTTCAACACATGAATATGTCCAGAAATATGATATATATGTAAATATAATTGTGTGTGGCGCATTTTTATTTGATGTCCTCTTGTACCAATAATTATGTGTTCAAATAAATAACTAAGTACAGAGTTAAAATATCTATTTCAATGAGTATTCCTATAACGCACATGATAATGCTGCCTTATAATAGTCATATCACATTATCACCTCACTATATTCATATGCAAAGACGTTCTAACAGCGATTGATGAGTAACAATCAAAAATATTCACACCTATAATAACGAAAATATACGTGTTTAGGTGTGGTGGGATGATCAAGCAATTAGATGTAAATAATTGTATGGTCAATGTGTGCGATCTATTTCATTTATTTAAACACATGGACATTGGTACAAGGAGGCATCAAATATATATGCGCCATATTTCGTCATTCGATTTGTATGAGGGATGGGATACTGATCGGGTGCCCAAACCGAAGCACGTGGTTTTCTTCGATGGCCACCCCTGATCCTTTGACCTAAAGGTTTAACCTGGAAGGTAGTGGAGCAACGTTAGGCGATGCAGTCTGATGGTATCTGGTTCATGCACCACTTGTTTTCTCATTATCCTGTAGTCCATGTGCACTACTGGTTTGGAGTCAGGGTTTCCCTACGTGTGACCATGTGAGAGCTGGCTCTCCCCACCCTTGGCCGTACCAGGACACTTAGGCTCATTGTGTGTGAACAAGAAATAAGCTGTCAGTGTTAGCGAACTGAATTGATTGAGCGACTTTCCACTTATCACTTTGTCGTACTTTTTTCTTATTAAATCGCGAAGCGAATCATGAACGGATGATTTTACTTGCTAGAGGTTCACTAAGAGCATGGATTGAGTGGTAGTTGTTAGTGAACTTCTCTAGCAGACCTTCACTCCCTGTAGAGATTGACAAGTTGTCCAGCGCACGAAGAACCAAGTCCATTATGTATTTCCTTGTCCACCGGCTGATATGTCGAAATAAGTCTACAATGCTTATAGAGACAAAGAAACACACCACGGATTAGATCTTTAGAATGTGCATACAAAATATGACCATAGTGCGGCATGTAGTCATTGAAATGCTCACGAGCACATCATGCATATGAAGTATCAACAAAATACATCATACCCTTGTCTTAGCAGCGGATGTATTCTCCTACTATAAGTTCGTGTCTCATTTTCCTAACACGTTTATAATTTACAGCTACAATTTTAGCTGCAAAAGCTGTGAACTCATTTAAAATAGTTCGGAATGACATTGGAACCTGAAATTAATCATACATTTAACTATATTTCTTACCTGAAGAATTGGAAAACGTTGAAGATCCTTTACAGCGTCATATGGACGCAAACGCAGGTCAGTGTCTGTTTTACTCCAAATTTTCCAGAACGTCAATAGCAGAGAATCACCTCTCCTGGGACATTCTTTTAGGTGTTTATGAGCACTTTCGACACGGTTGTTTGTGTCGTTGCCCAGGCTTAATACACGTTGCCGGTGACAGCGAGCCCACATTGACTTCCGGGCAATCCAGTAATCTTTTATATAATCATACGCCCGTGAGAAATGGGTCCTTAGACGTTCGTACTTCTGAGTATATCTGAATATAGTGTGTTATGAAAAGCGAAGCTCACATGTCAGACCGTCTAGTTTTCACAAGGTGTTCCAAGCATTTGCGCACATCAGGAATTCGGAACTATAGAAAATAATTTGTACAGCTAACACATACCTTCCTGAAAAATGCTCTTAAGACATGGAATGAACAAAGTATTATGTTAGAATGACTGTGCGTAGACTGCACAGCTGAAATTTCGGTCGCTGCCGAATCCATAATGAAAGTGCGTGTATCATAAGTACCGCACATTATCTCTTTAAAGCATTCCAATAGTTTTTCGACATCTTCGCGTCGTTCTTGACTGCAAAGAGCATACATAACAGTGTGCCCTTGCCCAAGACTATCAGTCACCACTAGCTGGAACAGTGGAAAACTTTCAGATAAATTTATTACTAGTCGTTACTTACCCAACATTTTTGGTCTGATAAGTCGAATCAATACATATTACCTCCGGGAACGCGTGGTAAACAGCTATTTGCCCCTGCGGCTGAAGCAAATCATAGATATGTACCCATTTTCACTGAATACTTTTACTTCAGTGCTCGCTTGAACACGCTGTAAGATGTCATTGATATTTTTAGTGTCTAAACCCAATTAATTACAATGTGAGTTCAACAACCTGGGTATAACTGTGAACGCATTTTGGCGATATCGTTCTTGGTAAGCTGTTTATGGAACTTCCAAGAAACCATATGCCGTAAGCTACGAGTTGGTGTATTATTCAGTAGAAACGTTCTTAAATACAAGCGTTCACTTGACGTTAACTGTCGTCTCGATGGATCGACAGAAATATATCCTTCTGTGCAAGGATGGTTGTGCACGGTTTTAATAGAGGTGACTTTCAGCCCACCATTTACTGCCCGGACCCAAAACCAAGATTGACAATGGCAATATTTCGACCTGAAGGAAAAATTAATTTGAAGTAAGGCATACGTAGATGACCGATGTCGTCTCCTTCGTCTAGGTTGTGATGCTGAGTTCGAAACGTATGTCGTCACCATTCTTCCGAAGAGCATACAACTTCTAACTCGCCAACACAACCTAGACGAAGGAGACGACATCGGTCATCTACGTATGCCTTACTTCAAATTAATTTTTCCTTCAGGTCGAAATATTGCCATTGTCAATCTTGGTTTTGGGTCCGGGCAGTAAATGGTGGGCTGAAAGTCACCTCTATTAAAACCGTGCACAACCATCCTTGCACAGAAGGATATATTTCTGTCGATCCATCGAGACGACAGTTAACGTCAAGTGAACGCTTGTATTTAAGAACGTTTCTACTGAATAATACACCAACTCGTAGCTTACGGCATATGGTTTCTTGGAAGTTCCATAAACAGCTTACCAAGAACGATATCGCCAAAATGCGTTCACAGTTATACCCAGGTTGTTGAACTCACATTGTAATTAATTGGGTTTAGACACTAAAAATATCAATGACATCTTACAGCGTGTTCAAGCGAGCACTGAAGTAAAAGTATTCAGTGAAAATGGGTACATATCTATGATTTGCTTCAGCCGCAGGGGGCAAATAGCTGTTTACCACGCGTTCCCGGAGGTAATATGTATTGATTCGACTTATCAGACCAAAAATGTTGGGTAAGTAACGACTAGTAATAAATTTATCTGAAAGTTTTCCACTGTTCCAGCTAGTGGTGACTGATAGTCTTGGGCAAGGGCACACTGTTATGTATGCTCTTTGCAGTCAAGAACGACGCGAAGATGTCGAAAAACTATTGGAATGCTTTAAAGAGATAATGTGCGGTACTTATGATACACGCACTTTCATTATGGATTCGGCAGCGACCGAAATTTCAGCTGTGCAGTCTACGCACAGTCATTCTAACATAATACTTTGTTCATTCCATGTCTTAAGAGCATTTTTCAGGAAGGTATGTGTTAGCTGTACAAATTATTTTCTATAGTTCCGAATTCCTGATGTGCGCAAATGCTTGGAACACCTTGTGAAAACTAGACGGTCTGACATGTGAGCTTCGCTTTTCATAACACACTATATTCAGATATACTCAGAAGTACGAACGTCTAAGGACCCATTTCTCACGGGCGTATGATTATATAAAAGATTACTGGATTGCCCGGAAGTCAATGTGGGCTCGCTGTCACCGGCAACGTGTATTAAGCCTGGGCAACGACACAAACAACCGTGTCGAAAGTGCTCATAAACACCTAAAAGAATGTCCCAGGAGAGGTGATTCTCTGCTATTGACGTTCTGGAAAATTTGGAGTAAAACAGACACTGACCTGCGTTTGCGTCCATATGACGCTGTAAAGGATCTTCAACGTTTTCCAATTCTTCAGGTAAGAAATATAGTTAAATGTATGATTAATTTCAGGTTCCAATGTCATTCCGAACTATTTTAAATGAGTTCACAGCTTTTGCAGCTAAAATTGTAGCTGTAAATTATAAACGTGTTAGGAAAATGAGACACGAACTTATAGTAGGAGAATACATCCGCTGCTAAGACAAGGGTATGATGTATTTTGTTGATACTTCATATGCATGATGTGCTCGTGAGCATTTCAATGACTACATGCCGCACTATGGTCATATTTTGTATGCACATTCTAAAGATCTAATCCGTGGTGTGTTTCTTTGTCTCTATAAGCATTGTAGACTTATTTCGACATATCAGCCGGTGGACAAGGAAATACATAATGGACTTGGTTCTTCGTGCGCTGGACAACTTGTCAATCTCTACAGGGAGTGAAGGTCTGCTAGAGAAGTTCACTAACAACTACCACTCAATCCATGCTCTTAGTGAACCTCTAGCAAGTAAAATCATCCGTTCATGATTCGCTTCGCGATTTAATAAGAAAAAAGTACGACAAAGTGATAAGTGGAAAGTCGCTCAATCAATTCAGTTCGCTAACACTGACAGCTTATTTCTTGTTCACACACAATGAGCCTAAGTGTCCTGGTACGGCCAAGGGTGGGGAGAGCCAGCTCTCACATGGTCACACGTAGGGAAACCCTGACTCCAAACCAGTAGTGCACATGGACTACAGGATAATGAGAAAACAAGTGGTGCATGAACCAGATACCATCAGACTGCATCGCCTAACGTTGCTCCACTACCTTCCAGGTTAAACCTTTAGGTCAAAGGATCAGGGGTGGCCATCGAAGAAAACCACGTGCTTCGGTTTGGGCACCCGATCAGTATCCCATCCCTCATACAAATCGAATGACGAAATATGGCGCATATATATTTGATGCCTCCTTGTACCAATGTCCATGTGTTTAAATAAATGAAATAGATCGCACACATTGACCATACAATTATTTACATCTAATTGCTTGATCATCCCACCACACCTAAACACGTATATTTTCGTTATTATAGGTGTGAATATTTTTGATTGTTACTCATCAATCGCTGTTAGAACGTCTTTGCGAATGAATATACTTACGGTCAGTCAATATGACTTAGGACCTGCACATATATGCATTGGTCCATACCACATTTGCACAAGATAAACATCGAAGCCATAGTAGTTCGTTCTTTTGTGGTACTATTGCTTAAACGGACATAGAACAGGAAAGAAGATGTAGTTAGCAGAAAGTTGTGAAGCGGTTTTAATCTCACGCTGTGAGGCATGTCAAAGAGTGTATACACGTACGCCATTGTGATCGATTATGACACATGACATTCAGTCTCCAACCATTGATTACGATAGTCACGGGTACCCCAACTAAACAGTCTGCATCTGCCATCATGGCTAAGACTAGAACTTACTGACTCCGAGCTGTGATTTCACGTTTTGGTTAGATCGCCCGTAACTTCCTCCCAACCATCTCCTACAGTAGTCAGCACAGCGCGTCGTGGCAATCGGTGTTGAGCCATACGCAACACGTGGCCCAACCATTTTAGTCGTTGAAAATTCACAACTTCCTATACTGATTTAGCACCACTCCCTAATACCCTGCGTCTAACCTCACTGTTACTTACCCGGTGGTCCCAGTAGATGCCAGCAATATTTCTAAGACATGTGTAAAATACTAGTAGCTTATGAATATCTTCAACTCTTAATGGCCACTTTTGGCAGCCGTAAAGTAAAACAACGGTATGCTGCGCAGTATACTCATCCCTTAATTGATAGACGGAGCTGATTATCTCACAATTATTACCATTATATGCCATCATTATCATTTGCGTTTTTTCCTCTTAGTAATACTCAACTAAATACATATTATAACTCTGTACATCAACATACAATTAACATGTTATATTTCTTGATATATTTTTGTGTTCGAATACTATTTCTCGTAAAGCAGTAGTACGGTCTTTTGTGTTCATTACTCATATTTTTCGTAACGCCACTTAATGTGCACATTATTTTTTAAATCTGACTTTGGTTTTTCCGTTACCGATTTGTATCAACTCCTACGACACACTGATTAACTCACAAATACACTGCTCCCCATACATTCCTCGTCTTCATCATCTCATCAGCTGCTACATTGACAAATCAGTAATATTGCTGTTTACTTTTACAGGTCACATTCCTGTGGTTAGTATAAGACTTTTTCTGATATACATCGATTTGGACTATATATACCGTGTTTGGTATTAATTACTTGTTTCAATTGTGCGTCACATGATCAAGACCCGAAGACGCTAGACCTGAAAATAAAGGTAACGTCAAGACTTTTTAGATTTATATATTTTGTGGGTTATTAACTGCCTTTACATTCCGTTCATTAAATTTTTCACTATTTTCATATTAATACTTTTAGCAAACGGTCTCACAATGTGTTCACTGGCTCACTTCTGCTGCATATAAGGTGTTGCAAACCAATGGCTTTGTAGAGCATGTTTTTCACGAGATCTCTGGTAATACTCAGGGAATTGAACACAGCTAGGAAGCTTCAGCAGACCAATGATAAGTTGTAAGGAACGTGGAGCACCTGAAAAATTCCAAAGAAGTCATGTGCCATAGTTAACCCTGCTTCAAATCTGAATAAAACTACCATGACATCCTCAAAATGCAGTAGATTATAAGCACACTGATGCAGAAAAGGAATAAGCGTGTGCAGAAGGGATAAAGTACAAGGAGCTCCAAAAATTGTGTCGCCAGATACAGCCTTAGAATGCTACATAAACGCCATGGTTTTGCCACAGCCTGATCTGCACAATGTAGATTTGTTTGAAAATCAAAATAAAGTCAATGATTAGCTTTGGCAATTAGAAAAGCGGAGGCCCTTACATCCTTTGCTGAACCGGACTGCGGGGAAGAGTTTAAGTTCAAGAAATGCAGCCTCAGTCATCTTTGAAAAACTAGAAAAATCTCCTGAAAAGGACTAAAAGGCTAGTTTGAAAAATAATGTAAACCATATTGATTCACTAATAAGCAAACTATGCTTCCACTGAGGAGCAAAAATCGACTATTGGAAAAGTCACAAAGACTGATTGGATCCGGAATCTATATCGGCGTTGATCTAAGTCTAGTTGATCTTATGATTTCATTGCCATGTCTGAAAAATGGCTAGCATCAGTAGTGTGTGACATTAAAATTCAGTCGTTTGGTTCCTTATTATGTAAGACCGACAGATTAAACCGTAGGGGGGTTCGCGTCATCTTATTCTTTCTAGTTGACTCTCCCGATTTGTTGAAAACATTGTCTTTCGCGAGGTCTGGTGCAGTAGGACGTGACTAAATTGTTGCACTCGTTGATTCTTAAAGTTGAGCTGCAGTTATTCCTGATAAATCTACTTTCATAGTAGTTTTCCAACTGGAAACTTTATGCCATTTACTTGACTCGCTGTTTCTCTCAGTTGTCTTCGGACATAGCTCCTACTTATGAATTCCTGTGTGAGCACCTTTCGGGTTGCTTCTTTTTGAACATGTTTCAAGATAAGATAACATGATATGGCAGTTTATTTCGAAACCAGGTCTAAAGAAACACTTAAGATGGTTTTGACTAATTCCGGACTACCGTTTTTCAAAAGGAAACTCCAAGAAAAGACGCTCTACTAAGTGCGGAACATTTACTAAAAAAAACACATACTAATGGCTTGGTCCGTTTCTACCATCTAATGCTAAAATCACAACAAACAGTACAAGTTTTATGTGTCGCTACTGCTCAGCGGTGGAACTTGTTGGAGTTAAAAGAGAGTAATTTTCTAATGGTCCAATAGTTGATCCTATTCAAATCATATTGAAATCATCCGCATATTACCGGCTTACTTGGTAGATCGTCCATCAACAATAGAAATGGTCCAAAAGCTGTTGATATGGCTTCACACTTTCAACCATTATTGTCAATGATAGGAACATACAGGATAAAGGAGATTTTTTATATCCTTTGTAGTAAACCTGCATCTTTATTATTGGTACAAAGAGGCATTTCACTAGGATTATTCATATTTCTCAATTTAATGAATTTTTGTTTATTTTCAAAGATGTCAGTAGAAGATTGTGAAAATGAATTACTTGCACTGGAATCCATTTATGAAGATAAGTATCAACTTGTACAAACTACACCTAGACGAAAAATAAAAGTAAATCTAAATGGTCAATCAGATGATTCACTGTCAACTAAAGTTCGATGTCAGCTTCTTTTTGAACTTACAAGCAACTATCCAAATAAACCACCTAAATATCAAATACTTAAACCTGAAAATCTGTCAGACGAAGATATTTCCGATATAAATATTATAATCAATGAAGTAATTGAACGATCCCTAGGATTTGTAATGTTATTTGATATATTAACAGAAGTTCAAGAAAAATTAGATAGTATTTGTGCAAAAATCTTAATTCGTCAGCGTAATGAAGCTAAAGAAAAACGAAAAGCTATACAACTAGAAGAAGAAGCGAAATTCCGTGGTGATAGAGTCACAGTGGAGTCATTTCTAGAATGGAATACAAAATTCCTTGCAGAAATGGAATCATTAAAAGAGAAGTCAATATCTGAAGATCAAAATGCTGTTAAACGACTAACTGGACGTGAGCTATTTTTGAAAGATAATCATTATGACGATTCCGATTTGACCTTCTTGGAAACTAATGGTGGTGAAGTTGTAGAGATTGATGAACATTTATTTGTTGACATTGGCGATATAGACCTGGATGATGATAATGATGACGATAATAACCAAGTAGTTGTGACGGGAACAGCCTGAACATATTATATACTTTGTACAAATTAATTCACTCCAAAAGTATCATTGCTTTTATTTTAACAGTTCTCTTCCGGTATGTAAGAAAAAGATATACAAAGTTGGGAATAGACTTCTATGACTATGTAAATTCTAAAAACTGTAACTTCCTGATTTCACAAACTTGACGCTACATTTACTAAGTGCCATACGAATTTGGCGACTATAAATTGTTAACTTGCAAAGCTTTAGTTTCGTGTTCTAAAACCTAGGATAATTATTTCAATAAAAGTATACAACTTGGAAACCAAAGGCAAATTCATCCTCATAGTTAATATTTTTGGAAATAAATATGCCTACTGAATAAATCTTTGTTACTGAGGCGAGATTCAATTATACAAGCTCTATTGAATAAATGTATCTAGATCACTGGTGTACAGCACCTAGTATTCTCAGAACTGTAGTATATGGGTTCAATAATAACTGATTTGTTTAAGTATCTGATTAATATTTCTAGTTTTCTTACAACATCAATACTTTCTGTGTGCTTATTCCTAAGGATTTTTTGGATTTCGGAAAGAAAATGCCCCCTGAACTTCTCAAGGTCCTTCAACTAATGTCAGTTTATGTTGAAGAACTAATGCTCTTATGATGTTCATGTAGATAATTCCTAATTAAAATGTAGTTGTAAGCTTATTATGTCAATAAAGACGCTCCAACAATGCGAATATTGCTGTGATACGGGCTTACATATACCAGACCTTACCAGTTATTACCCCTTACATTTAGAGATTTCCACTGTTTAAAGTAAGTCATTCCTTCACCATATTCCCTGAAACATTTAAAGTCACTTTAGTTTGCTTTATATTAAGTAATTTCTGAACTGTTAGTGAAATTATACAGTAAGCGTCCCAATCTTAATAATACGAATTTTTACGATAGAACAATGAGAAGACGGAGTTTATCTGAAAAAACGTGATGTATTTGCGCTATACATTTCGAACAATCTGGTTACACATATACTTGTCAAGGCATTTTTATATGAAAATTAATAAAGGTCAATTAAATGAAAGTTCAAGTAAAATAACAAAGGGGAGAGAAAGAATAAGAAATTGTCGCGTTATCCTAGGCCATAAAATGACTTAAGGATTACCAAGGTTACGACAAATTGTCTTTGTACACATAAAGGGGCTTTAAATTTACGAATAGCCAAAGTCTCAATAAACTTAAGAATTCGTCCTTGACAATTTCTATACAACGTCCTAAAAGCTGTATTAATGTCAATTTCGTGCCCCGTCTCAATTATGTTTCGCCATCGATGAACCTGGTTTTCTACCTCCCACATTGATTTTGAAGCCATCTAGACACATGTTTATTGACCCTTGATTGCATTGTTCGATTACTCCTCCCTATGTATATGTGTCCACACAAACATGTAAATTGGTAAATACAATGGGGTGTGACGTAATCATTAGTGCATTGTTTGGGTCTATTAGAAACCATGGGCTTAGACTTTTCAATCACAACCAACTGAGCAGCATAATAGGTATTCTCGATGGCAGCTTTCAATCTCTGTCTGGAAACCATGCTGTTGGATTCGCTTCTATATGGTAAATTGATATGAACTTTTTTCTTTGGAACTAAATAAACAAGAGGTCTTGGCATTAACTGACTTTTGCATCTATTAATAGAATTTATTGGATAACCATTTGCTATTAATGTGTCAGTCAGTATCTTTTCATCTTTTTCCAACGTGTCAAAAGTACAAATTATCTGAGTCCTCTCAAAGAGACACTTAACCAGACCTCGCTTGTATTACAATGGACAAAAACTATGGGAATTTAAGTATTGTCCCGTCCAGGTTGGTTTCTTATACACTGACCGTCTAATATTGTCATCATCCCTTGGACTAAAAAGGCCAATTGGCCATTACTTTCTGATTCATATGTCATCACAATATCATCTTGAACACCATTGAATTTATCCAATAATCGGTAAACATCAAAATCCTTATCACGCATAATTAGAATATCGTCCATGTATCATTTATATAGAGTTGCCTCACTAATAAGCTCGCTCGTCATATTTTCCACATACGACATGAAAACATCAGCTAAGACAGGCTCCAAAGGGCTACCCATAGCTACACCATCAAGTTGTTGAAAATATTAACCATCAAACGTGAATTGAACATTAGTAGTACATAATAAGAGTAATTCTTTCAAAAATGGCAACGGAATGAACGTCATAAACAATGAGTTTAGTATACTAAAACCTTCGGGTTCAGTTCTCCCGAATTTATATGGATTACCTAAAATTCATAAACTTAATATTCCATTACGACCAATTTTGTTTATGCGCGGTTCCCCCATACATGAGTTAGCTAAATGGTTATTAAAATTGTTAAACCCAATTTATTAATTTTCATATAAAAAATGCCTTGACAAATATGTGTGTAACCAGATTGTTCGAAATGTATAGCGCAAATACATCGTTTTTTCAGATAATCTCCGTCTTCTCATTGTTTTATCGAAATTTATAAAAGGGGCTAATTACTGAATGTGTCGTTATTTAAGTTGTGTAGTTAGTTTAAACAGAACGTTTTCGCTACGGTGCAATACAGTTATTTTGATATTAACATTTATAATCTAACAACTATCCGTCAGCAAAACACTGATCAGTTTCAAAGTTTTTACTTTTTTATTTTACGTCTTTTAACATACTTAGGAATTTTATGTTTTCGCTTTTCAGCTTGTTCTTGTTTGATTGCTTTTTTTCTATTCCTACGACTTTCTGGAGATTCATTTCGAGGTCGTGCATTATTCTTTGCTTTAATTACATCTTCGCTAATAGATTCAAAAGAAATTTCTGAAGTGATTGAAGCTTTGTCTGTAATTGATTCATTGTCCGATTCACATTCATTGTTTTCTTTGGTCACTTGAGGTTGTGTTAAAATGCCTGTTAAATCTGGTTTCAGTCCAGTTATAGCTGCGTAGTAAATATCAGAATGTGACAATTGTCCACGTTGTATTTTAAGAAAATCTCTCACAAATGGATAAGATACTGATAAATTTCGAGGGATATGTACATATCGGAAAGCTTCATCCTCTTTCTCAATTGTTTCATTTAATCCACGAATTGAAGCTTCTCGAAGTAAAGACATTAAACACTCTTTAGATGATGCATCATCGGGTGCAGGCAATGAGGGATTCACTACCCATTCGAAAAGTTCTCGTAATGTTAAAGTTGAGACACCTTGTTTGCGAAAAAATATATTTATATTGTGACAATCAGTTCTTAAATATTCAAGAGCTTGAGGCGATTCATGTTCCACAGCCTATAAAAAGTAAATGAAGTTTACTAGTGAAAGATATAAACAACTTTTACTCTAAAGATGTTTGCATATTTTTACTGAAAACGGATGCTATTTGCCTTGAAAGGTGAAAAACTGTACATCAGTGGGCTTCAAGTAGCATAAAATGAACTTAGTTGTACTGGGGAAATATATATCTGTTCGTTGTCTCTGTCTAGATTTTTTCATGAATATTAGGACAATCCAAGTGATTTGGTAAGATACTTAAACAACTCAGTCACTCATACTTAGTGTAGAATTTGGCACATATATGGGTCGGTTAAAGGTACTACAACAAATTAGCACAGCAGTATGTTGGAGCAGTACAAGTAACATTATTAGCGGTAATAGAAATGACTAGACAGAAGTGGCTTGAGAAGGGATAATTAATTCGTGTAATTAAAGAAAATCTTGAAAAAAAAAGATTAAGAAAATTAGGTCCTAAAGGAAGAAAGAATGAATACGCTTGCGCTAATGCAAACAATTTTGGGTCATGTCACTGATCATGGTTGTCGTTCGGAACCATTTACTAAAATCGCCTTAGACACTAACTTCATCGACTGATAGCATCATGGTTTAATTACTGCTAACTCTTCAAACCCACTCCTACTCTAGCATTGAGGTATGTGGTGGTCGAGCATATATAATACATAACCTAACCACCTCAGTAGATGAAAATTTGTTGTTTCACCAATTGACTGATCACCTTTAATTGGTACCTTGAGCTTAACTACAGCATTCCTCACTTGGTGATCCCAACATAAACGAACCGTGCAGAAACCTGGTCCGACACCGAGGAATTAGGCCCTGGCATGGCCGAGAGTGGGGTGGGCCCTACCTCTCACAAGGCCACGCGTATACAGCCTCTGCCAGGGAAGTCCTAATCACTGCCTTCCGTGGCAGGCGTGTTGTTTGCGAAAATGAGAGGACGAAAGGCGAATATCCGGCGCCTTAACCGGATCCCAAACCAACGGTGCACATGGGCTCCAGTATCCTGAAGGAACAAATGGCGTGTGAACCAATCGTTGGTCACCAGCTACCATGCGACTGCACCACCTCACGATGCTCCACTGCCTTGTGGGTCAGACCTCTAGGTCAAAGGCTCGGGGTGTGGCCCCCTAAGAAAATCACCTGCTCCGGTCTGGGCACACGGGCAGTATCACAGCCCACACACAAATATGATGAAATGTCGAAATTTATGGAAAATACTTGTCTTGCTTCGATTAACAATCAAACAATTCACATTATTATTATTAATACCATTATTTTTTTACGCCATTTATTTACTCTTTTATTCCCACTCTGTGTATCCTTATTTTTCGACTTATACAGCAGATCGCCTATGGTAAAATTCGGTTCTATCTAAACGTTCTCGAGTCACTGCCTGGTTGAAAGTTCTATGCTACCACCAAATACGAATACTGAAGCAGTTTTCCTGAAACTAAGTGCACCAGTCTGGCTGTAAAAGGTCGGATCTACAAAGTGTCGGTGAGAGCAGTTCTGCTTTATGCTTGTGAAACCTGGCCTCGCCGAGTTGAGGATGCTAGACGACTCTCTATATTTGGTCATCGTTGTCTCCGAAAGACTGCTGACATCCAGTGACAACACCATGTTAGTAATGCAGAGGTTCAGCATCGTGTGTTCGGACACAGAGACGACAATTCAATTGGTGTCACTATCTTGAAACATTGACTTCAGTTTCTTGGACATTTCCTACGAATGTGGTCCCAGAGAATTTCACGTCATGCATCATTTTCCGACGCTGGGACTGGTTGGAAAAAGCGGAGAGGTGGTCAGTGTATGACATGGTGTCGTGGTATGAAAGAAAGCTGCACAGGACTGGCTACTGTTGGTCCTTCACAACTCCCTGGCTGGGGTCCTAGAGATGCTGCAACACAGTGGCTAGTGACGTTATCAGATATGGTTCAGAATAGAAGCCAGTGGCGATCCTGCTGTAACCTTTTTTTACTTTCTTCATCAGAAGTGGTTGTTTCTTCCTTAACTGGAAGATTTCTTTCCGTTTGCCCCATTATTACTAGTGTTATTATTATTATTACACTGCCTCACACTAACCTGCTCGTTATTGTTCTTTTTTACGCTCTTTACCTTCTTTTTTTTCTCTTCGAATTCTCATTGTTTTGTGTGGCGCATATATATTTGGTGCCCCCTTGCACCAATATTTATGTGTTCAAATAAATAAATAATAAATCTGTTAGGAGATAAACAGAGTGCTCGATGCACACAACTACTTCACTCTACTTTTAGTTCAAGGGGTCAACACAGACCAGCAACATTTCGCATTTATATACAAATTTCCCCATTTACTCTTTTAGTCAAATTTTGCATTCAAACGGAGGGAAACACATTCCAACCTTTCTTGCATTATTTCTATAGGAGATTAAAAGTATTTGCACCTTATCAGCGTCTTTATCAACTAAAATTGTTATCAGCGTATCCTAAATCAACAAGTGAATCTCCCGGTAGTAAATCAATTTATGAATAATCAGAGGATGAGGGCGTCAACTCTAACACAAATTTAATGGAAAAGTTATGAACAATGTTTTTTTCTTGGATTTTCAACCTTACTAACATAATTACTACAACTCTTTTTCGTTCGTTTTCTCTTGTTGCGTTGTGAAGTGTGACAACTTGAAACAAAAGCGCATCTGTAACAGGTCCATAAATAAGGCTAAGGTATTCATTATTATTTATTTATTTGAACACATAAATATTGGTAAATAGGGGAACCGAATACATATGCACCACACAAGTCACTTGATTTGTATGTGGACTGCGATACTGCCCGGCTGCCCAGAACGAAACTGGTGATTTTATTAGGAAGCCACACCCAAGTCTTCGATTTAAAGGTCTGATCCACAAGGCGGTGAAGTAAAGTCAGGAGATGCAGTCCCATGGTGGCCGGTGACCAATAATAAGTTCATACGCTGTTTCCTCCTTCGGCATCCTGGAGCCCGTGTGTACGATTGGTGTGTACTATAATGTTTTCCAACTCCCCTAGATGAATCTTCCATATCCACCAACCCAGTCAAAGCGCGGAATATCCGTTTTCCGTCCTCTCAATTTCTCAAAGAACACGTCCGCCACGATAAGGCAGCGAGTAGGACTGGTAGTGGCTGTATACGCGTGGCCATGTGAAAGCATTTCAAGAGGGAGAGCTGACTCACCCCACCCTCGGCCGTACCGGAGCATTTAAGGGCAAGGTATTAATTAAATATGGTAAATCGATTGATAAGTCGATGATTCTTCATCAGCTGATGTGGTTGAGACACTACGTATACGCAACTATCATCCATCGACGAGCGTTGTGGCCTGGTGTGGTGGTAGATTGGGGAAAAAGCTAGACCAAAACGTGGCATTAGTCCATAAAGTCACTGATAACTGGGCTGAGCCACACCAATAGGTATAAACTACGTGGTTGAGATCTGTATGATTATCGAAATCAGTGGTTAGACTTTGGGTGATATGGTTCGAAAGCGTTCTCAATGGCGTAGGCCCATTCACTACTTTTCTTCTTTTAGAATCTGAGTCCCGAAACCTGCCCGTACGTTTATCTCGTTTTTCTATACTTAATCTTTACTACTATTGCTACTGATACCGTTACTACCCCTGTTACTCTGGAATTTGTCCTGGAATATTTCGTCCTTGAGGTAATGTAGTATTGCAAGTTGACCCGATGTAAATGTCAGGGTTCTAAGTCGCATATGATTGACTGAGGTCCTTAAGCTGCTAGTTAATATACCAAAACGAAACTGACACTGCAAGAATGTGGATAGGAGTAATTAGTTTTCTAGCTTCTTCATGGAGTATTTTAATCCGAATCTGTAGCTAATTCAAACAAGTTAACGTCATTATTCATTGGCGTAATGAAATAGCAAAATCACCATATGATTATGTGAAAATATTTAGACATATTTTTTTTCCTTCTTTGATATTCGGACATATTTGTATCGGCAAGTTTTTTTTACTTGATGTTGAGAATATAATGCCGGTATTGGTAGATTAGAAAGTGACGAAATTGAGTCATAGAGCTATGACGAGATTGCTAAAATACTAACTTAGGGAATACATTTAAAGTCTGCTTCATTTCCCCATACGGTTAAGAAGCATAGTTGTTGAGGCTACAAGTACACAACACTACTCTGGTGAAATCACAGAGTGAAGTCTTTAGAAAATGATTTGATGGGTTAGTAACTTCTTACGTGTTGCTTCCAAAATAATTTGTGCCCGTTTTGTTTACTAGTACATAACTCAACTCCGCCTGTAGCTCTTATAGGGTTACTGCCGGTCTCAAGCCCGGGTAAAGGAGGAGGGTTGGGCATGGGGTTAGCGTCCCCATCCCGTAGAAAACTAACTCGCTAAAAAAACGCTTACCAGAAAAAATAATCCAAACCATTTAAACTCTGCCCTGGGAGTTAGAAGGTCTTCAGTTAGAAGAATTATGACGCTTCATGGTGAAAGCCGAGTTCCTTCGGAAGCCACGAGGCCGATGCCCCTTCTAACAACCAGAGCAAAAATTTTTATAGGTACATGGAACGTTCGAACAATGTGGGAAACCGGGAAGACCAGTCAAATAGCAATGGAAATGAGGAGATACAACTTAGCAGTACTGGGAATCAGCGAAACCCACTGGACCCAAGCTGGACAGAAAAGGCTAGCTACGGGAGAGATGCTGCTATACTCCGGTCACGAAGAGGAAAATGCTCCACACACTCAGGGAGTCGCTCTTATGCTGTCCAAAGTAGCACGAAATGCACTTGTAGGATGGGAGTCTCACGGATCCAGAATCATCAAAGCATCATTCAAAACAAAGAAGGAGGGGATCTTAATGAATATTATCCAATGTTATGCACCCACCAATGATAGCAACGACGACATTAAAGATCAGTTCTACGAGCGGCTGCAGTCAATCATTGAGAAATGCCCAAGAAAGGACCTAACTATTCTGATGGGAGATCTAAATGCCAAAGTCGGAATAGACAACACTGGATATGAAGATATTATGGGACGACATGGACTGGGAGAGAGAAACGAAAATGGAGAAAGATTTGCAAATTTGTGTGCATTCAACAAATTGGTCATAGGAGGCACAATATTTCCACACAAGCGTATACACAAGGCTACATGGATCTCACCGGACCACACTACAGAGAACCAAATAGATCATATTTGCATCAACAAAAAATTCCGAAGGACAATGGAAGATGTGAGAACCAGGAGAGGTGCTGACGTAGCTTCAGATCACCACCTAGTTGTAGCCAATTTAAAACTGAAGCTAAAGAAGAACTGGACAAACAGCACTACAAAGGTTCAATACAGCCTTCCTTCGAGATACTGACAAACTCAATGAATTCAAGATAGCTCTCAACAACAGGTTCCAAGCCTTACAAGATCTACTGAAAGAAGAAGAAACTAGTATGGAGGACAACTGGAAAGGCATCAAGGAAGCATTAACTTCAACGTGTCAAGAGGTTCTGGGCCTAAAGAAACACCATCATAAGGAATGGATCTCTATAGAAACACTGGACAAGATCAAAGAAAGGAAGAACAAGAAGGCAGCAATTAACAACAGCCGAACACGAGCAGAGAAAGTCCAAGCACAAGCTGAATACATAGAAGCAAACAAACAAGTGAAGAGGAGCATTAGAGCCGACAAGAAGAAATACGTGGAAGAACTAGCAACGACGGCAGAAAAAGCTGCTAGAGAAGGAAATATGAAACAGCTTCACGATACAACGAAGAAACTAGCAGGGAAATACAGTAAACCAGAGAGGCCGGTCAAAGACAAAGAAGGCAAGCCAATCACCGAAATTCAACAACAGCGTAACAGATGGGTGGAATACTTCGAGGAACTCCTGAATAGGCCGGCTCCAATGAATCCACCGGACATCGAAGCAGCACACATAGATCTTCCTATAGATGTCAACCCACCAACGACGGAAGAAATTAGAATGGCCGTCAGACAAATCAAGAACGGGAAAGCAGCAGGACCCGACAACATACCAGCTGAAGCACTGAAATCAGACATCGAAGCAACCACAAGCATGCTTACCTTCTATTCAAAAAGATTTGGGAGGAGGAACAAGTGCCGATGGACTGGAAAGAAGGACACCTCGTCAAGATTCCAAAGAAAGGAGATCTGAGCAAATGTGAAAACTACAGAGGCATTACACTACTGTCAATACCAGGGAAAGTCTTCAACAGAGTGTTGCTGAACCGGATGAAGGATGCAGTAGACGCCCAACTTCGAGATCAACAAGCTGGATTCCGTAAGGATCGGTCGTGCACAGACCAAATTGCAACACTACGGATCATCGTCGAACAATCAGTTGAGTGGAACTCATCACTATACATCAACTTCATTGATTATGAAAAGGCATTCGACAGTGTAGATAGGAGGACATTATGGAAACTTCTTCGACACTACGGAGTTCCTGAGAAGATTGTCAACATTATCCGGAACTCATACGACGGACTACAGTGCAAAGTAGTGCATGGAGGACAGCTGACAGATGCATTCCAAGTAAGGACTGGAGTCAGACAAGGCTGTTTACTCTCTCCCTTCCTCTTTCTTCTGGTGGTCGACTGGATTATGAAGACCTCGACATCTGAAGGAAAACACGGAATACAATGGACAGCTCAGAATCAATTAGACGATTTGGACTTCGCAGACGACCTAGCCCTCCTATCACGTACACACGAACAGATGCAGATGAAGACAGCCAGTGTAGCAGCAGTCTCTGCATCAGTAGGCCTCAGCATACACAAAGGGAAAACCAAGGTCCTCAAATTCAAAGCGGAAAACAGCAATCCAATCACTCTTGATGGCGAAACTCTGGAAGATGTAGAGTCCTTCACATACCTAGGAAGCATCATCGATGAACAAGGAGGTTCAGATGCAGACGTAAAGGCGAGGATCGGCAAAGCAAGGGTCGCATTCCTACAATTGAAGAACATATGGAACTCAAAACAACTTTCAACCAATATCAAAGTGAGAATCTTCAATACGAACGTCAAGGCAGTTCTACTGTATGGAGCTGAAACTTGGAGAACTACAACAACCACAATCAAGAAAGTACAAGTATTTATAAATAGCTGTCTACGCAAGATACTCAACATCCACTGGCCGGATACCATCAGCAATAGCCTTCTGTGGGAGAGAACAAACCAACTTCCAGCTGAAGAAGAAATTAGGAAAAGACGATGGAAATGGATAGGACATACATTACGCAAATCGTCAAACTGCATCACGAGGCAAGCCCTAACTTGGAATCCTGAAGGGGAGCGAAAAAGAGGAAGGCCAAAGAACACATTGCGTTGGGAAATAGAAGCAGATATGAAAAGGATGAATTACAACTGGACGGAGCTAGAAAGGATTGCCCAGGACAGGGTTGGATGGAGAATGCTGGTGAGTGGCCTATGCTCCTTCACGAGGAGTAACAGGCGTAAGTAAGTAAGTACATAACTCAAAAGATGGACAGATTGGTCAGTTTACTTGCTTTGAAATTACTATTTTTAATAATACTGATGACTACATGGTGAAGGCCATCAACAGTCAGTCAGTGAAATGGAACGCAAAACCTGGCATATGTGTTACATAGGTTCAATTTGACAAACCACATTAGCACAACGAGATGAAATTGTTAGGGCGAATCCCATAGTAGTAGAAATAGTAACAATACTAGTGGTAATAGAAAAGATTGGGCATCAGAGATACAATTCGAGAAAATGTAGATTAGTGGGGTTAACTTAGTGATAAGTTCAGAAACTTAAGTGAAGACAAGGAGTGCACCTTCGCTACTAAAAAGTATTCTGAATCATGTCACCCTTATAAATAAATATATTTGTAATATCCCAGTGAGTAGGAAAATTAGATTTTCTGACGTTTCGTGGCTTAGTGCAAGTCACTTCTTCAGAGAATAAATAACCAAATTATGAAAATCTACTTTTTGTACCCAGTTGGGATATTACAAATATAGTATTTATTTATAACAATCTACCGAATGCTCAATTTATCCGAAATTATCAAATCAAACCTTGGTAATGATACCTACATGTCACCCTTAGTCTCTTATCACTGGTTACAGTAATCACGGACCACAACCAGGTAGTCTGCAGAAATGAAAGATTCGTTTAGTGTTTGGCGATATTGCTTTCGTATTTCGAATAATCTCTAGAATACTAGATAGTTTCAAAAGTAATAGAATTTAAAACCTACGAACAATGTAATACAAAATCTCACTATTCAGTTTAGTAGTGAATACCTACCTGGGAAACATCAATCATCCAAACTCTTCCATCAAGATATAGTAAGTTGTATTCGCTTAGGTCGGCGTGGACTAAGCGGCACTTTTGAAACAAAGTTCGTATATCATGAATAACTTGAAAGTACAAGGCAGCCCAATCGGGGAATCTTTGCAATCACTTTCGTGAAAACAAACATCCTTTAACTTTGGAGCGGGAATACCATCCTTCCCAACAAACGTCATCAATAGAACAACGCCTTTCAAACGTAGAGGTTTGGGGGCACTTATTAAACCCGATTGATTTATTCGGAGTAAATTACGATATTCTTTTTCACTCCATTTACATACAAGCTTCCAAGACGTTGACTTTGAGTAACCATGACGCATTCTAAAATCACCCTTTACGTATTTATCGCGAGATTTAAATGGCATTATTGATGTCATATAAACTTTGATAGCGAAATCCACATTCTCTTTATTTTTTACATGATATATGTTTGCTTCTTTTCCTGAAAATATCAACAACAAAAAAAAAGAAATAATAACTAAACATTTGGTGAGATAAGAGTGGAAAAGCTCTGTAGTATGTAGTGAACGACGGGAAAGGCGTAACAATATTATTAATTCACCGGCCGATTTATGTACCCAGCTTAGAGCTATATATAAACTAAGAATGCCTCACTAGAAAGTTTGAGCAAATGTGGAAAAATATATGTAGCCTTTCTGTCCTCTTGTCTATCAAGAGGATATCCATATCAGCTATATGATAAAACAGTGCAGTCTTCTGAGTTGCACGCTAATAAAAAAATTAGTTCAAATCACAGGTATCTACGAAAGTGGTGGCAGTTGATAAACTGAACGCCCATCAAAACCAAAGGGTTTCACAAATCTGAACTAAAAATTAGGGTAACAATTGTCAGTTTTGTAGTCAAACAGGCTGGGACCTTATACGTGAGATTGAGTGAAGGTGCGATAAACCACGGGTCACAAAACAGAAGGAATGAGACCATATCTCTAAAACGTCTAATATATATTTTCTCTTCTGACGTCTTTGCCTTATTCCGCAATTATGTTGCCGAAAAGTCCTCGGGTAGTAAATATGCTCAGTGTAATATCCAGGAAGCTGTTTCATTGTGTACCGCGAATATGCTATTTCCATTTGCATTACTTTGTTTAAAACACCACTGTGATTGGATTTTAATAACACAATTGTGGGTGAAGCAAATAGTATCAATGCAACAAGGCAACACAAATTACCAACTTTCATAACCATACACCCCCATGTAACTTATTCAACATCCGCTTAATACTAATTGGTAACTGAAAAAACATTGACGAACTAACATATTTTCTTACGTAACATATGAGATGTCACTATACTGTAGTAAAACCTCACGTCAACGGAACACTATTTATCTTGACTATTTGCACAACACAGATACGATGAACAAATAATCTACCTGAATAGGTATGAGTGAATAACCAGTAGATATCACACAACACATATAGAAACAAATTCAATAATTTGAGTCTGACAAAAATGGCTTACTTTTTTAAATAGTGTTTCAAATTCTATACTTACATGTTACAAAACGATTTATCAGCAAAATCGAAAGCGTGGAAACTAGGAATTGCCAGGAATAAAATAAGCCAGCAGTTTGTGTTCTGACTTGTGTTTTTGTCCACAAAGAGCTTTGGGTAAAATTATTTGAAGCTACATATCCAGCCGAAATAAAAATGATTCCTGGTAAATCCAAACAAGGGGGTGGTGATGCAATTAAATAACTATGACGATTCGTATCACTACACAATACGTGGAGTTGTATTACCCAAAGTAATGAACTATAAAGACCTAGAAGAGGCTTTAAAACTACGAGTAACTGTAAGGCTGCTGCTGCTGTCGAAGGCTTTAGGGTATTATGGGCTATTCGTAAGTCTTTTCAGAAATCGGAAGAATTAATGGGCGAGACTATAATTTATGGACGCGCCAATAAGATTTACGATAACAGGTCTTGAATTTTGGCACAAAATCGATCCGTTTATTTGTCTAGATAGAGTTTCAGCATCATAGTTTATGTCAGTTCGTGATGAAAACCCTATATCTAGTACCTAACCCTTATTATCAACTGTGACTATTAATCTTAACTCTCCACACTGGTTTGTAACCCTCAATTAACCGTAATGTGTAGATGGACATTCTCGAGGTCGTCTATAAACTATAGTCTCACAGATCTATCTCATGAAGACAGACTGAGACATCCAAACTTATTTCTATTATCTTACTGCAGATTACGGGGTGATTCAATATTGGTTTGTCGTATACCAAACAATTAAGTTAATGCTAATTGGCATTATTGATTTGTTTTTTCCTTTCATCTAGGACAGATCATGTGAGAGGATATTCTAAGTTCAAAAACCTAGATCAAATCATCTACGTCTGGATTTTCATCTTTGACACCGAGTAGAGAGTTACCGTAATTATCTACCAGAACACGGAATATGAGCACCTTCTGTTGATATATTCAAAGAGAGATCGGAGCGCCAAAGTGTTACAAACTGTAAGGATTAATATAAGTCGATAGATCTCCTAACCTAACTGCTGTAGAAAAGAGACTTACCTGTACTAATACACCCATTGACTTCACTAAATATTTCCTGATTCATCATTTTGAATAGTATGGAGCACGATCTTCTGTCTAGAGCATGATCAGTCGTTGCCTTGTCGCTTTTATCTTTTAACTTCCTTTCATTTTTCATTGAAAAATCGACTTTGCTTTGAAATTTTTGCATATACAACTTTGTGGAGTTGTTACATTCTCCATCGCTTTCTGAAAGATCTAAATTATCATATGCTTCTTCCAACGAAGACCATAGACTCATATTCCTTGAAGAAATACTCAAAGTCATGCGTAGTAACGCAGTGTCTTAAACCATGTGACATTCAGTCCTCAGTATTTCATATTTCATTAATATACTTATTAGCAAAATAATAAATATATATAACTATAAACATGTGTAAAATTGAGATGAAGTAAAGTGTTTACGAGTGTCTTACGTGCAATGGTCGTTTAAATGTTCTGGAAATCTTACTCTTCTTCCAGAATGCGTTGTTCTAAGATTATTTTCAGATACTGTCGAAGTATCATCGCGTGTGTTGGTTGTCGATTGAGGAATTATGAGTGGAGTCGTGTCGTATGATTGTACCGAAGGAAAACCGATGTAGATAGGATTTCCTTCTAAATACGCTGCTTTGAGACGATCGATGCTGATGCTATCGTTGGTTCCGTTCTTATCGATTATATAGTACTTCGGTTCGCGTTGAAGAACTTTGAAAGGTCCTTTGTATGCTGATTCGAATGGTCATCGATGCGAGTCTCGACGTACGAAGACGTGTGTACTATATCGTAAGTCAGGTTGAACGAAAACATCAGTTGGTTGAGGTCGAGTGGAAGCAGGTTTAACTGAACGCATTGCGTTTGTAAGCCTGTTCGTGTAGGAGGTTACGTCCATGTTCATTGAAGAAGATGAAGAATCGACGAATTCTCCTGAAATTTGAAGTGTCGTTCCATAAACGAGTTGAGCCGCAGTGTATCCAATGTCAGCTTTCATTTCATTGCGAATGTCTAGTAAAACGAGCGGAAGAGCGTCATTCCATTGTGAAACGTTTGCAGCTGATAGTGAAGCTTTTAGTTGTCGGTGAAAGCGTTCTACCAACCCGTTTGTTTGTGAGTGGTAGGCCATCGTTCGGAAGCGAGTGATTTCTAAAAGTGTGGTTAGACGACGGAAAAGTTCAGATTCGAACTGGCGTCCGCGGTCTGTAGTGATGGTTGAAGGGCAGCCGAAGCTTGCTACCCATCGTTCGACGAAGGTGCGGGCCACTGTTTCAGCGGTGATGTCCTTGATAGGTACTGCTTCTGGCCATCTAGTGAAACGGTCTACGCAGGTTAAGAGGTAAGAATATCCATTTGAATCTGGTAAAGAAACTACTAAATCCAGATGAACATGGTCGAAACGAACATCGGGAGTTTAAATGAGCCTAAGGGACATTTATTGTGTCTGATAACCTTGGATTTTTGGCAGCTTACACAGGAGCGTGCCCACTCCCTCACGTCTTTATTCATTCCAGGCCAGCCAAACCATTCTGCTATAAGTTTGATGGTTGCACGGACACCTGGATGAGAAAGTTTGTGCAACGTATTGAAGACGTTGCGTCGATAATGTTTCGGCACGATTGGGCGGTCTCTACCTGTAGATGTGTCACACAGTAAGGTTTCCTTACCTGTTCCCATCTGTTTGATACGTAACTTGAGGGTTGTCGACGATAACTCGTGCCGAAGATTAGTGTCTTCTTTTTAAAGCTCGGCGAGTTTAAGAAGGTCGATTTCTTGGAAACTGTTCAAGGAAGCCATGCGAGATAAGGCGTCTGCGACTACATTGTTTGCTCCAGAAATACGTTGAATATCTGAAGTAAACTGCGAAATGTAGTCCAGTTGTCGAGACTCACGGGGAGAGTACTTGTCTGAAGGAGAGCTTAGAGAGTATGTGAGCGGTTTATGGTCAGTGAAAAGGGTGAATTCACAACCTTCGATATAGTGTTGAAAATGTCGTACAGCACGATACAAAACTAGGAGTTCCCTAACGAATGTCTCGTACCTCGATTCAGTGTCTAGCAACCGTCTAGAGAAAAATGACAAAGGTTGCCAGAAGTTGTGAACCCATTGTTGTAAGACTCCTCCGATTGCTGAGTCGGATGCGTCTACTGCGATACTAATGGGTGCTCGGGTGTCCTGATGTGCAAGCATTGTTGCTTTAGCGATGAGTTCCTTAACTGTGGAGAATGCTTTTCGCGCGGTGTCGTCCAGCTTGATGGATCCCGAATTTCCACAGAGTTGGTCGGTAAGAGGTTTTAAAAGTAATGCGCATTTCGCTATGAATCTGTAGAACTATGGTCTACTAGGATATTAGTACTGCTCTAATAATAGACCTAATCCTAAATTTGTAGATTTGTCATGATATAACTGCCTAATCTATAAGATCTTACGTGGAAGTCACACCATCGACTACACCAACTCACCGTATCGTATCAATTACCAATACATGATGTAGAACAAGGTTAGGCTAGAGAAAGAACAATATATTTAATATGAATAGGAGATATAAGGTAACATTCAGCAGAGACCACGCCTGCATGGCCGAGCCATGCCAGTCGATCAACTCCAGTCCTTTCAATTCATTGTTCGCGCCTTCTTTATTGTCAGGTATTTCTCCGCGTTAAATATTGAATATCTATTTTCGGAGTAGTCTCGTGTTCACAGCTTTGTGGACTGTGTGGCTATGGTCCAATGCCACTACACTACTCCCCCACCAGAATCAACGTGGTGTTGGTTCGATACCAAATCGGATGGGATCGTCGCGCCGGAGGTTACCAAGACTAGTAAGAATCCCCCGGGTAATAATAAGCTGAAAGATAAATCAAAAAGAAGGCGGCAGCACCTGGTCGAGAAATACATTTAATAATTTTAAAATATCTGCCTTCATGCTTAACATACTTGAAATGAAAATTTGGGTGATTATTTGAGCTATAAAAAATGGGATTATAATAATAATAATAATAAAACGATGCGTGTTAATAGCCGTTGGTTAATAACTTAACTCATAGGTAGTATGTATTTTGTGTTTAGAAATATTAAAAGTAGTGAATATTGTAGAAATGTTAATATTGGTATTAGTTTTGGTTTAAATTATGAAATCAAATAACGATTATGCCGGTAAGTTGTCCATATGAGTTGAATTCCAATTGCATCTGTATTAGTAGGCTAACTGAAGGAAAAAAAGTATTACCGTGGAGAAGAATTCCAACTAGTGTTCCAGTTAGTTTGATACGGTTTATTTAGTTACGGGTAGATTTTCTCAACCTCATTTTTATTTGACCGTGATAGAATTTAGTAATACTACTGATACACATGTATGGTTATCAAAACAAAATTTAAATACGTAAGTGATAATTATAAGTTTTGGACAGATAGCTAAGAACAAATCGTTAAACCTGAGTGTATTCGTAAGAGACATGCTTCAGACTCAATGTTCTGATCTGTGGCAGACTATTTATTTATATTTATACTTGCCGGCTGATTGGGCATACAAGCTAGTTGCAAGTATGCAGTTTATCATAAGGCGGAATACGATTTAACTGAGATATAGTGGTTATAAGTTATTAAAATCAGTTAAGCCTGTAAGATCCAAACTACGTTTGGACTGCTGGACAGCTGTCTGGATGAGTTAGATACGCGCCCTCGCCCGATTGAAACCAAAACAAAGGAATTGGGTAAGATAGCGGTTCTATAATTTATCATAAATTTAAGTGTACATTATTACCTAAACAAATATAACCACTCAGCTATCCAACCAATAATTGTTCAATTGATCAAATCTAATTACAATAAATAAGAAAGTTGATAAAGGATGCAAGAAATTTACCAATCACAACAAATCAACGTTATTCTATCCTGGCTGGATAGATCACACACAACAGGAGGAACAAATCAATATGGCTACCGCCAAGAACAAGTGTCAAGTAAAACAACACAGATGCAGTTCAGGAAGAAACACAAACTTAGTGAATGCGTAAGAAAACAAAAACTATAATAAAAAATACAAGTATTAACAACTCAAATGTAATCAAAATACAACAATGTACAACTAAGGGAATCAATAGGAACAAAGTACAAGTATATACATGGAGGGATTTTCACAAACACACAAAACATTCAAAATGGATCTTACACCGGCCCCCAAAATCCCTCCATACCACACAAGCTACCTTGATGCCTATGGTCATGGTTCATTATGTAGCATATTACACTATAGGAACGAGTAGGACTTACAGCAGTACGCCTACTCGACCTAACTACATTAATAACAAAAAAGACTAACCCGAAGCTTCAGGGAGACCTGCTTCATCTGTTCTCTGGTGATCAACAATAACAGTCGTGGTATAGACCTAATCACTCTTCCCCAAACTCCAGCCATGCTGTTGGATGAGGGTCTCGCTGACAATTCAATATTTATCTTCTGCTGATTCGACTGCTGCACAACCCTTCTTAACTCGGAAACTGTCCCCACGAAGCTTGACGCACTGTCACTGTAAATCTCCGGAGGTTTCCTTCTTCTTCCAATAAAACGTAATGAATCAGCAATCAAACTACACATCAGTTCAATATGTACTGCCCACGTTTGCAAACAAGTAAACACATATCTATATCCTTTTTCTAATGACCTTCCTATGTGTCCTGGTTCCTTATGATAATGTCTAATTATCATTTCCGTCACTAAGTGTCGACTGCGTAAAATTACTGGATGTTTAAAGGCATTTAAGGATTCGGAGTAGCTTAGCCGACCTGTAACACAGAGTAACCCATCAAGCATTATCGGTGATAAGCCTTTCAGATCATATCTTACTACTTTACTGCTGTTTCTAAATCCACTAAATAATTTTCCATACACTTCCCTTTGAACCATCAATAAATTCTTACACTTGGCGATGTCAACCTTTAAACATCCTAGATGAACGGATCCTTTACAACTTGGTGCACGATGTACCATCAGGAATTCGATGAACCTTCTAAACCAGGTTACAGCTCTGATTAATTTCAACCACTCGGAATAATAAGAGAGAATAGGTAACATGTTGTACTTTATACTACTCAAGTTACCCACAGCAGTTTTTCTAAGCTCAATAGCGTCAGGAGTATGTTCCGGACAGTCAGTGATTGTTATATAAAATTCGCCATGCAATAAAGTAGGGCATTCGAACCAATATTCAAGATAAGTCACTTTCTGTATGCTTCCTCTACATAATAATTCACTTATATGTTTAACGAAACTCTTTGCTTGATTACAAGTGGGAA